ACGTGTTTTGCCTCATCTTGAGCTTTCGACATTACATCGATGTTCTTCTGAGGAATTTCACCCGTTTCAAAGTATTTCAGACGTTCTTCCACTTGTCCTCTCAAGAATTCACCAAAAGTAGCTACAGGAACCTAAATCAAAGGTGAAACTAATGAAAACGTTTGATTAAGGCACAGGAGCTGACTACTCTTACCTCTGAGAAGCAATCTATCCTTGAAGCGATTGTGCACTTATTAGCAAGGAAACGAGAGATTCTTCCTTTGTTCTTCGTAGATGCTCTTCCAATGAATGATGAGTGAAAAAGTAATCCATATTTTGGAGTAGCAGCTAGAGTTAGCAAAGTTGTTTTAGATGGAGAGCTCTATTGAGAAAAAATTGTGTAATCATAACAGTAACGAACTTACATCTAGTCTTCAGCGCTCTAAACAATGCTTTCTCTGCACCCAAGATCTGTACCGTCGAAGCTGGATATTTCGCCAAATTCGTAAGCGATCCAGCGTGAGAAATAAGGCGAGCCCCGACCTAAACAGAAGCAGTTAATATGTATTCATAACTTACTCCAATGGATCTAATCGGACCAACTAATTTTGGAAATTGACTTTTAAACAGACTAAAAATCCCAAAGATGACACATTTAGTACAAGAGGATGATATATCACCTGTTCTCCAATCAACGCACTCAGTGATGGAGCGCAGCTATTCATACGATCCTTGATGTACTCATGAAGACGTTGGCGATATTCAGTAAGAGAGGCTACGCGGGAAGCAAATCTGAACAGAAGAGTTGTAATGCTTCACAGATACCGCAACTTTAGAAACCAAATAAAAACCAAGAAAGACAGGTGAAAGCGAAGGAACACACCTTTCTATATTAGCCAGATCCATTTCTGAGATATCCATTCCCATCGATGTGCGTGCAGCTTCCAAAATTTCTTTGGTTTTTTCCTCATCCTCGACAATTTCTGAACAATCCTTGATGGTTTTTTGATAGAAGAGCTAAGTTTGACGATACCATTTATTTCATTAGCAATATTCTCATTCTCTCCTATCTTGTTACGATCCAAAATCGCCACAGCCAACCTGGCGTACTTGTACTGATCTGGAACGAGCTTGAAAAGCTCTGGGAAGTGGTACGAGTACCTAAAAAGCTCTGTATGAATATCGTCTTGACTTAAAAGAGAGAGAAACCATGATTAGAGGGCAATACTTGTGGGAATCATTACGATTGATATATACACATTGGTGTAACACAATGTCTGATGTTC